TTTTTTATAATATGTTATCTCAAAAGTTTATGATCTGCACTAATGGAGTAATTGCTTTATATTTTTAAAATATTTCACATTCTTCGAAAATTAGACTATTTTTTGACAACTTTTTAAATTGTCAGTCACATTACATCCTCATTAAATTCTCAAACATATATATAAATAAAAAATAATAATAATAAATCAAAGGGGGGCTAATAATTCAGCCTTCAACTGTGTCTGTGTATATACAGTTGAAGTCAGAATTATAAACCCCCTTTTGATTTTGATTTTCTTTTTTAAATACTTCCCAAATTATATTTAACAGCAAGGAAATTTTCACAGTATGTCTGATAATATTTTTTCTTCTGGAAAAAAAAAATCTTATTTGTTTTACTTTGGCAAGAATGAAAGTAGTTTTTAATTTTTTAAAAGCTATTTAAGGACACAATTATTGGCCCTTTTAGCTCTTTTTTCCCTGATAGTCTGCAGAACAAATCATCTTTATACAATATCTTGCCTAATTACCCTAACCAATATAGTTACCATGAATAACTTTGTTAAGCTTTTACTGTAAATGTCACTTTAAGCTGCATAGAAGTGTCTTGAAAATATCTAGTAAAACATTATTTACTGTAATCATAGCAAAGATAAAATAAATAAGTTGTTAGAGATATGTTTTTAAAACTATTAGGTTCAGAAATGTGCTGAAAAAAATCTTCTCTCAGTTAAATAGAAAATGGGGAAAAATAAACAGGGGTGCTGATAATTTAGGGGGGGTAATAATTCTGACTTCAACTGTACATACATACATATATATATATATATATATATATATATAGCGAGGCAGTGGCACAGTGGCACAGTAGGTAGTGCTGTCGCCTCACAGCAAGAAGGTTGCTGGGTCGCTGGCTCGAACCTCGCTCAGTTGGCGTTTCTGTGTGGAGTTTGCATGCTCTCCCTGCCTTCGAGTGGGTTTCCTCCGGGTTCTCCGGTTTCCCCCAAAGACATGGGGTACAGGTGAATTGGGTAAGCTAAATTGTTCGTAGTGTATGAGTGTGTGTGTGAATGTCTGTGTGGATGTTTCCCAGAGATGGGTTGCGGCTGGAAGGGCATCCACTGCATAAAAACTTGCTTGATAAGTTGGCGGTTCATTCCGCTGTGGTGACCCTGGATTAATAAAGGGACTAAGCTGACAAGAAAATGAATGTATATATATATATATATATATATATATATATATATATATATATATATATATATATATATATATATATATCAAGGTTATCACCAACAGTTTTAAGCACTTGATATTTCCCATTATTTGGTCTTAAAATATTACACTTGCAAATAAATGCCATTGTTTGATTCATTGATTCCTTGATTAAACTATTTATTTTTTTAAATTATTTATGTATGTATGTGTTTATTTATTTATTATTTATTTTAATTTATTTATTTATGGCTTCTAAACACTAAAAACCAAAAATAATAAAAAACAGTAGTAATTGTTTATGATCATATCCTAAATAACAATAAATGCATGAGTTGTTATGGCTATTTTATGTTTTTTAAAACCCAACACAACTCTTATGCTCACATGGGATACATTTATAACAGTATAATATATTAAATATATCAGTATCAGAAAACAGTAATATTGTAAATAATTGAGTAGTGAATAATAGGTCCCCTTTAAAGTTGTCTGAATTAAATGGCAATGCACTTTACTAATAAATAAATAAATAAATAAATAAATAAATAAATAAATAAATAAATAAATAATAATAATAATAATAATAATAATAATAATAATAATAAAAAATAAATAAATAAATATACCTACAGTAGGAAATTTACAAACTTCATAGAACTCGGTCTCTAATGCTTTTTGGCAAAACAGATACATTTATAATATTGACCCATACTATGTATTTGGAGCTATTGCCAAAAATATACCAGTGCAACATAAGACTTCATTTTGGTGGTCCAGAGACAGATATTTCAAGACATTTGTCAGATATGGAACTAAAATGTGGTGGAAAACTCCAAGAACTAGTCTCCCAGTGCTAGCTTGTCATACACAGTGATTGACAGCGTGACACTGCATGTGATTCTTTGTTCAGTTTTGTTCATTATAAAGAATGACATTTCATAATAACACGCAATGATAAATCATTTATTTGTGGATAAGTGGGACGAAGCCAAAAGTTCACCAGAGGATTCGCTATCAGCCCTAAATGAGCTGCAAATGGAGGGAAAAGCCACTGGTGAAATCTCAGTTATTTCTTCATTCACTGAACAATCTGTAAAGTTGAAGCAGCAAGAACACCTAGATTAATGTCTGGGTTTAAGTAATGACTTATTATTCTAATGTGGATAATTAATTGTAAACGGCATTTCCTCACAAAGGGGTCCTTGAAGGCATTGTAAACAATTACTGGGCTCTTAGAGCAGTTTGGCTTCGAAGGTATTTGTGCTTGATAGGGTTTGCGTTTGAATTATTCATTGCAGATAGCAAACGCAAATAGAATTACAGCACGATGACACCGGATTATGTATTTAAAATGCAGAAATGCATTTCCTTTATGCAAAACGGCATATCACTTTCGTTAAACCACAAACTGAGGATCGTGAAGGGGATGTAAGATGACACCGATGAATGTAATTAAAGCAAGGAATTGAAATAAAAATAATTAATAATAAAGTACTTTATGTAGTTATCAAGCACACATTTTCTCTGTAGATGCTATGCTTTTCTAATAAGGCTGTCAAAATATATCCTCACACTCTGCAAGTACATTTTATATGAAAGTTTTAATTTACATAATTGATTATATGTTACATATTACTGTACATACTATATTATGTACTATACATACACGTACATATGTGCATATTTAATTTAAGTATGATTTATATGAGGTAAATAGAAACAAATAGTATTCATACAAAAAAATGGCTTAAATTATTTATTATCTTATGCCATGACAATTTAATAATAATAACAATAATAACAACAACAACAACAACAACAACAACAACAACAACAACAACAACAACAACAATAATAATAATAATAATAATAATAATAATAATAATAACAATAATAATAATAATAATAGTAATTTATCAACACATTTTTGGGCCAGCTGACCCAGGCGAGGCTTGAACCAGCGACCTTCTTGCTGTGAGGTGACAGCACTACGTACTGTGCCACTGCGTCTCTGTATATACAGTCCTCAGCATATATAAGTAAACCCCTCACAAATCTCTCTTTTTAATTCATACTTTCTATAGGATGTTTTACAATATACATTAAATTAGTCAGTAAAAGTTGTAATAACAGTCAGTAAATTAGTAGAACATATTTAAATGTTAGAGAAGAAATAGAAGAAGAATCAAGAGAAACAATATATATATATATATATATATATATATATATATATATATATATATATATATATATATATATATATATATATATATATATTTATATATATATATATTTATTTTTTTGCAATATTACACACCAATCTAAAATGTGTTATCTTTCTATTTCTAAAATATTATTTTAATAAATATATATGTTTATTAAATCTGATTAATATATTCAAAATCTAAATATTTGACCTTTATTCACTGAAACGGACATCCAGAAATGGTATATACTGGCCAGCCCAATCACCAGAGATGAACATCATTGAGCATGTCTGAGGTAAGATGAAGAGAAGGCATTGAAGATGAATCCAAAACAATCTTGATGAACCCTGCGAGTCCTGCAAGAGTGCTTTCTTTGTCATTCCAGATGACTTTATTAATACATTATTCATTGCAGAGGTGCATGAATGCAGTCCTCCAAGCTCACACACTATACTGCACATTATTTCTGTTAAGTGACAAGATTTCTGTCTAAGCAAAGTCAGACCTTACTGTCCTAATTAAATAATTAAAAATCAAGGCATGATCATATTTTATTTTTGCAAAATAAACTTAATTTAGATGCCTTTACCTTTCATATAAGCCACTTCTGATACCAAATGATCAACTAGAAGTCAAGACATATTTAAATATGATTTGTGTAATGTCATTGGATAGGCTAAATTATGTGTTAACAATATTTGTAAATCAACAACTTTTTCGTTTTCATGTTCACAAAGACAATGTTTAAAAAACCTGCTATATTTTCACAATTTTAGACAATTAAATAATAATAATGAAAGAGCGAAATAAGGTTTAGCAGGTTAGATCACTGCCTCCATAGCCTTGGACATTTGCTTTTAACTATAAACAAAAGTTACACCAGATATTTCTGCTCAAGGAAAGTGTGCTTTCCACATGATCTCTTTATATACAGAAGCAAGCAGAGGGCACAGCAAGATACATCTAAAGCATGTATAGTACAAAAAAACCCTCGTCTGTCCGTCATTTAAAGGCAGTTGAGCAGCGCTGACTGAATGTCAGAGTGCTTTTCTGCCTCGCGGCTCAGGGTCTGCACTGGCCACTTTCATTTCTCGCTGTGCTATCCTTGACCATATGTGAACAGAACAGATATTAAAAGCATCCTCCAAACAATGGCACGTACAGACTCTCCAATCTCGCAACCCCTGGCCCTCACCTTCTGCTGCCCTGTACGACTATTACCAGAATATACCGCTCCCGGGGGACAAATCTCGGCGCTGTTTCTACACCAATCACAGCAAAATTGCCACTATATCAGTTATGGCGCAGAGTTCAATACTTGTAGAGAGCTCATTTAACAGTTAGGAGTAAAAATAGCTATCCTCCTGGTGCCAGCTCATCTCTGGAGGACGCAATCGGCTCGCTACTCTGAAAAGAAAGTGGTTTGACTGGTTAAATTGGTCGTGATTATGATTATTAATGATTTGAACAGCAAAAGGGGTGTTTCGGGGGCCGGCGCTAAATGTTCTGCTTTTGTGTGACAGAAAGGCACCTTCAGGTGGCACAGTGTCAGTTTTGGGTGGGTGGAGGAGGAGGGGTTGTGCCAGTAGACTTACTTCCCAAGGGCAAAGCACTCCAGCCTCACGGTGACGCCTTTGGCTGCCAGTACCGTCTGGGGAAAATGTGCTTCGATTTTAGGCTCGTACTCCCCCATTACTCCTGAAAAATCAAGGAAAAAACGACAGAAATGTAAATCATTACATAATTTTACACATGTAAAGGCTACACAACATTTCTCTTAAACATTTTAATTGGTTTCAACCTTTTCACCCCCCCTACATTAGTTTTTAATGTGTAAAATCTTGACTTGCTGTGGGTCTTGTGACATCTACGACGAGTGTTATTTCCCAAAGCAGTCACAAGTGTTGCTGTAACGATATTTCTCATCTCGGTTAAAATTAAAATCTTATTTCAAATTCGATAAACACTGATGCTTACAAACAACTAAAAAGTACATTATTTAAGGGCATTCGCTACTTGGATTGGATCATACTTATGATTCCATTTTAATATTAAAATATTTTATTTGAAATCTTAATGTATTTCTTCTGCCAGGGTTGCTTATTAAACACTCCCTCGCCTGAACTTGCTGCAAGTGAGACAGAGAAAATTAAAGCACATCAGCAGCAGAAAGTAAAAATCAGGTGCTTAAGACATAATCTTTAAAATAATGAAATATTTTTTAAAAATAGCATATACAGTTAGGTCCATAAATATTTGGACATTGACACAATTCTAACATTTCTGACTCTATACACCAACACAATGGATTTGAAATGGGCGTCGTGTATTCATCTGAGGTGTTTAAGCAATAGTTCACCCAAAAATTGCAATTCTGCAATCATCTACTCACACTCCACTTATTCGAAACGTGTTTGAGTTTATTTCTGTTGTATCCACTTCTCTAATTCTTTCTCAAAAAGAAGATATTTTAAAGAAAAGTCAGAAACCAGCAGTTATTTTCTACTATGTATGTCAATAGCTGTGTCTTTCTAGTTTTCTTTAGAATAGCTTGTCATGAGATCAACAGAAGAAATTTAGAACCACTTTAGTGTAAGTAATCGATTAGAACATTTTAGTTTTGGGGTGAACTATGCCTTCAAATCTCTTTCAGTTTCAGGGGTAGGTGGAAAGGTTGGATAGGCCTTCAAACATAAGTGGGGAAGGTATAGACAATTTCAGTTCTGGAGAGCCCCGATCTTGGAGATTTTTGCTCCAATTCTAAATGTAATTCAAAGAGGCAAATACGACTTGCAAAACTGGAATATCACATAAAACATTTCTGAATAAAGCACCGTTTCTATCCAATAAGTCAAAGAGAACTAAATCATGTATTCCTGATAAACTGGTGTCAAATATCAACAACAAAAATAGAAATTGCTGCGGTAGACTCAAAAAACACACTTAAACTTATTTAAATTGTGCTGAAAAAAAAAAAAATCTTAAAATTTATTTATTTTTTTTTTTTTGGGTGAATAACTTAATTGTTTGAAAAATTATTTGACAAATCGATTGTTTGGAACCCAGCATTTTTTTTTACAGTATAGGAGAATAGCTGTGAGCCCTTTATTTTATATAATAAAATACTTGTGCTTTGGAAGACAAAATTCAATGAACACAGTGACTTTTGGAGACATGAAATGCCAATTTTAAACAAATCAAGGATATAATAATACTGAATAGCAATACTCTGATGACAGACTTTGGTTAAGGGATTTTAAAATGACCAATAAATATTGTTGAATGTCCGTTAATGCGGTCTCAATGCATATATTTTTGTCATTATATGATCTGAAAACAAAAAAACAAAAAAACAATCATATTTTTATGTGCATGCTGGAATTTACACTGACAGAAATCTTGTCGCCTATCCAAATGTTAGGAACAACAAATAATAACTTCTAGTTGATAATTTGGTATCAGAAGTGGCTTATATGAAAGGCAAAGGCCTCTAATATGATCATGCCTTGATTTTTTTATTATCTCATGAGGACAGTAAGGTCTGACTTTGCTTAAACAAAAGTCTTGTCACTTAACAGAAATAATGTACAGTATAGAATATAAAGTCATGGAGCGGTGGAAAAATAATTAATATTGTGTGGTTTGTAATGTAATGGGCAGCACAGATGTCTTCATTCCTCAGGCTGTTGGTGTTGTCATTCCCTCTGCAGATCTCTTGCACGCCCTCATACTGAATTTAACCACAAATTATGATTTTTCCTTCACCAAACTTGACTGATTTCTGTGAGAATCTTGGGTTGATGCAGGTTCCAAAAGGGTCTTCTGCAGTATTTGTGATGATTGGGATGCAGTACAACAGATAATTAATCTGAAAAACCTACCTTCAGCTACTTTTCAAAATGATCAACTAGAAGTCAAGTTATTACGTGTTGCTCTTACAACTGAGATCGATGACAAGACTTTTGTCAGGTAGTCTATGCTCTTAATGGGCTCTATTTTGACGGTCCATGCGCAGAGCGCAAAACGCAGAGCGCAAACGCTTTCAGGGCGTGTCAAAACGCATTTTTGCTAACTTAAGGACGGAAAAATCCGCTGTGCGCCATGGCGCATAGTCTAAAAGGGTTGAGTTTATTTTCTTAACGAGTTATAGGTGTGTTTTGAGATTAAACCAATCAGAGTCTCATATTCCATTACCTTTAAGAGCCAGCTGTGTCGCGCCATAAGCGCATTGCTATTAACATGACGTAAAGTAAGTTCACTTTCGCTTTTTCTCTCGTGGATAGGGAAACCTTACTGCAAAGACATCAATTAGCCTATAAATAATTAATTTCGTTTGTTAAGCGCAAAGATTTGTTTCAAAACTATTTCTAAATTCAGTTCTCATTTCCAGCAAACGAATAAATGATTAACAATAACAAAGTTTGGTCAAAATACTGAGTTTTTTCAAAATACACCTGCTATGCCCCATATGGTCTAAAACCTGACAGGTGGAAAAATCTAAGCTTGTTTTTAATAAAACAAATATAAATATGGATAGAATAAATAATACTGCTAATAATAATAACATTATACAAAAGCAAATTGAATGAACTGAAAAAGCCTCCCGAGATGAAGAAAGTATGAAGGCAGTGGTTTTTAAATTCCTGTAGGCTAGAAATTAATATGTTTTGTAATATTTTAATCATTTATATTTATATCCTATATATATATATATATCTTTATTATATCCTATATATATCATTAATATATTATATCTTTTTCATATGTAAAGATATTTGCGTATTGCATCTTGTGTGTAGTGTAAGCCAGGCGCACTTTGCGTCTGACAATAGACCCACTTTGTTCTGGTCTAAAGATCAGACTATTTACAGTTTCTCAAAATAGCAACGCGCCAAAACACGCCTGCTTTTTTAGACCAGAACACCTATGGGCGCACATTTGAGCGCAAATGCATTTGCTATTTAAACAGCGTGGCGCAATGCCTCAAAATGACCCTTGCAGCAAGCTTAAAGTAGTAAAATACTATTGAGCTGCGCCATGCGCCACATTGCGCCGGATGTATGATAGGGCCCAATGTGTTCCATCATAGTGTATGCACATTTTTTTTTTTTTATCGGATAAAAAGTATCCAACTCAGTTGTGCACATAAGTGTTTCATGCTAATGTTAAACATTTATCTCCATCTTGGTATTTCATTAAGTATTTCTTTTAACAGAATTGGGATAGGATCTTACTTGCACATCTGTTACCAACTGACCTCTGCAACAGTAAGACTTTAAACATTAAAAGTGGTAGTTTAGTAAAGCTCCTATAAAGTCTCCCCAGACTTGCATATTGTTACTGGACAGATATCTGATCGCATTTTATCTGTCCCTGGGCACATGCAATCTGATTGCAATCTGCTCACTGAAGTGAGCAGGCATGTTAATAGCAGGTGTAAAGCCATTGAAGTGATCTTCAACAGAAATCGGTTTGCTCTTTGGGGCAGCACACCTCTGAGCATCTAAGCATCTCAGTTTGTAGGTTTAGAATCAGCACATTACTCACACCTTTCGCCCCTCTCACATGAAACTCCACCTTGGCATCTTCACGCTTGCTTTTTGGAAGCCCGTGCTCATTAATTAAAGCTTGTGACAACAAGCTTGTGCTTCCTGTGCACCGAGTTCGTGTTTTATTTTTTTCTTCGGGTTCATGTAGGTGCTTTGTAGGTTTAACAGAGGCCCGAGGTGCTCTTGTATGATGGATTACACGGCTCACATGGACTCCATCGCCTGAAATATCCAGTTCAGCTGCTCTATAACATTGACCTCACAATCAATAGTGCAACAGCCCAAGACACGGTTTAAATGTGGAAATTGCACATGCAGCCGCCCCAAAAGGTCCTTGGACACTTTAGAGTAACCTGGATGATGTTTTTGGAAAATATCAGATTAAGCGGATAATATAAACATCCCAACTAACCTCACAGGTCTTCTAAATATAATTGAAGTCATATTTGTTAGGGCTTTAAGCATTAACTCAAATTATTCCCAATCATCTATACATTTAGTATTAGATATTCACATATAATATTATGAAAGCATCCATATAAACTATTTGTAAAATTTATGATATAAAGGCTCTGATAAAAACACTAAACTATTTTGGACAAATGTTAAACGGATGAAGACCAAATTCTGGTATTTTCTTACAGCAAGTTGCCTGTATTATATGACTGTCCTATCTGTATCAGTTTGTATGTTTGATTTAATTAGGGAAATCTGAAATAGAAGAACAAAATATTTTTCTTCTTGGAGACCGGATATCATCCTTATTGAGTTGTATGAAGGTGAATGTGTATCTATATTGATATATTGTCAAATAGTTTACAGAGTGCTCACGTGTGTGTATGTTTGTATAGGTAGTGTGAGCCCATGAGTGTGAATGCCTGACTATAAAGATGTTTGGCATTACTATAACCTAGGCATTTATCTGAATGGCTGCTGAGCTATCTGTAATATTGCCACATGCATATGATGGTCATCAGAGTAAATTGTGTTTGCTACTCGAGGGAGGAAATACTAAATTATTTGGAATTATTTACAATAGAATCCTAATTCTTTATTTTTGCTTTGTCTTGCACAAACGGACTGCCATGTATCTGAATCTCTGATGTGGAATGGGTTACAAGTAGCAGCCTACAGCAAACTCTTTGGAAA